AATAGAAAGTAGATGTAAACACGGCTATGAGGCGATGTTTAAAAGGGTTGACCTAGAGGATTCGCTAGCAGTAATTTAATACAACCGAATACTCCAAAATGTCAGCTAGTTGTCTAGATTATATAACCGTCTGTAGCACAAAATTGCATAATTGCCCTAACGGTGGAGAGGGCATTTGCATGACTTCGGATAAGCTGTACCTAATCTCTTGTAAAGCTTGTGTAATGCTCCTGTAAAAACGAACACGTTCGGAAAACAGCTCTGTGTCCGTACATAAAGGACACCTAGTTAGAAAACTTCAAGTTGACACGACTCTGATACAAAGGTATAACGAAGAAGATTTTGAAGTAAAACTCACTACTTGGATAAATCTTAAAAATCCAAGTATGAACTGTCAGAAAGAGTGCCTTGTGCTCAAGCATCACCTAGCGCCCTATCTGAGGATGATTTCATGGCCTGACCCAGTCACATTCCTCAACCATGTCATACTCTGCGCAGCTGGTTCCCACCAAATAACTGGAGGGCTTACAATGAACAGAATGGTGAGTGTTTAAAAAAAGCTGTTTACTGTGCGAATGAAAATTGTGTGTTATTATAATGCTGAGATATTTGCAAAACTCCGGACCGCAGGTGTCTGTGGTGGGGAACGAGCGCGCTATGCAAAAATGGCAATGCTGATGGCAAAAAGTCTATAGAACTAGCTGAGAGACAGGCGAAACGAAGGGCCCGCATGGTGTGGTGATGAACGCGTTACTCCCCGGAAAGGATAATAGCGCGTTCGTTCCCCACCACAGACACCTGCGGTCCAGAGTTTTGCGAATAGCTCAGCACTATGAAAATTATATTTCTCAACCTACGCTGCCATTGAAAAGAATAGGCAGTAAATAAAAAGGTTAAGAAGGTGTAACAGTATGAACGTCAGCCCGCATTGAATAAATCTTGTTGCTGACAACCTTGGGCTTGTTGAGAATTAAGCACTGCCTTAGTAATGTTGACATTTCTATGCTTAGAGTAAGTTTATTATGCATCTGTAAAGTAATTAAGAGATAAATTTGGAGCATTAAGTTTCAAAGAGCGATCGGACTCTCTACCTTGTTCTGGAGGCATCCCATGAGGTGTGCATTCGAGGTGTTATAGCGTTTGCCGAAGGATTGTTTGAAGGCGAATCCTACATATGGTTTGTCGCTTTTTTTAACTCTGGACGATTTTGTTTTTGTCAGAAAGCTATCACTTTCGTATTCGTGTTAAAGTTTAATTATTGCTCCTGTACCTACAAAAACGATAGTGAGTGTCCACCACCTCAACAGTGGAAATTTTGTGAGACGGATTGAATGACAAAGATGCAAATACATTATCGTATTTGAAGATATACTGATCAGTGGATGATTACTTTCGCAACTAAAAAAGAAAAAAGAAAAACTATAGAAGAAATATGCTCATTGAGCATAAAGGATAAAGCTCTCGGCGTTGATCAATCCGTAAAGGATACGCAATGACTTCATTAAGCATCGTTTGGAGGTGATCCAGTGCATATCTGGCCTTCACATAACTTGCAGTCGCCTACCGATGTATCGACCCAGTGTTGCTATCCTCCCAGACAAGTCTGGTAGCAATTCGCCGACCCCGAAGAGATGGAAGGCTTTGTGGGCCATAAGCGCGGAGTTCGGATCCTCGTATGTGTTTCAAGGCGCCTCCAACCACTGCGCCACACGCGTCCTCATTGAGCACGTCATATCATAGCGTAGCTATCGTCTTGTTCCATTATAGCTTCGCGACGAAAATCTTTTGGGATCCTATGACAAACTTTCCGCTTTCAATCACTTCGCCATAATTTTTGTACGAAATTTGCACAATTTTAGCTAAATAAAGTTTCCACGTGGTAAACACCACCTCGGTCACAATGAACTAACAATTCATTAGAATCCGCTGGTATAAAAAACGATATGTAGTGAAGGAACCCTCTGTACCTATGGTCATTTTACAATAATTAGAACTCCCATTAACTTATATATTATGAGGGAAATCCTATGTTTCAAATAAATTCAATAACTTGGTTATTAAAAAATTGCAAGGAAAAAGTTCTGCACAGCAAAATAAAGAAACAAGTGCATTGAGGGCAACGCACTTCGTCCATTTTGCCCCTCCTAAGCGTGTACTGCATACGCGTTTGAGAGTTATGTGTTAAATTTAGCTCCTGCTCTGAACCGCAACAAAAGCTTACATGTGGAGCATTCTCACTAGGCGTGACTTATCCAGCCGAATTCCTACTAGGCTAGCGTCTTGTTGATTCGAATAGTGAACAAATTATTTCAGGATTTGTTTTACTTATTATCCTCTGCCTACTACAATTTTCACAGACGAGTACTGAACGAAATATAACCAGAATATTGCTGAGATATTTGCAAAACTTTAGCCCACAAGTGTCTAAGGTGGGGAACGAACGCGCTATTGTCCTTTTCGGAGAGTAACGCGTTCACCACCACACCATGCAGGTCCTTCGTTCTGCCTGTCTCTCACCTAGTCCTATCTAATTCTAGTTTTATAAGGTAGGCTAATGTAGTAAGCAGAAAATAAAAAGTAGAGTCTAAAACACCAGCGCGAAAACTCCTTGAGGCTTTTTTGGATAAATGCCAAAAACCCTACAATGAATAACAGGAACGAATGCCCGGAGATCATACGCGACCTGATCCCTATGTTTGCATCAAGTTCTGATGTGGGATGGTGCAGTCATCAACCACATGCGACTATAATCAGCTGTTCTAAACTTCCTCATTGGAAGTCACCAAGAAAGCGGTGAGTTTTTTCGAGAAGCTATTGATCATGTAATTACCAAAGAGTCTTTCGTCTTTCTGTAAGTGTCATTGAAGCGTTTGGCCTAGTAGATTGCATATCAGTATGCCCTTCCAGGCTCTGAAGAAGGCGATACTGCCGAAACCTCAGCTAGCGTTGTACTGTATTGTGTTTTTCTATGGAAGTAAATGTATGGTGTTTAAAAACCTTTAAAAACCTCACGATTGCTGAACAAGAAAACAACACAAAAAGTAAAACATTGTGATTTCAACTATAGCCTCAACTTAACTGGGTTCAATGTCGATGTGGGCTCCCCAGATCAATCCCGTTATCGGGTGATTGCTGATGGCCCTGATCGATAGAGCCAGCTGAGAGACAGGCGAAACGAAGGAGCCGCATGGTGTGGCGGTGAACACGTTGCGCCCCGGAAAGGACAATAACGCGTTCGTTCCCCACGTTAGACACTTCTGGTCTAGAGTTTTGCAAATATCTCAGCAAAAGTGTGGTTGTATTTCAGGATTCTTAGTTGAGGTACTGCAATTTCTTACGCTGGTATGTTAAGGATACCGAAATTGATTGAAGGAAATGGTGATCGCGTTCAGATTCCAATCGTCACCAAAAAAGATATGGCCGATGAGATACATATACGAACATTTCTGGGACCCCAGGAATCGTAAGAAACTTACTATTGGCTGATTTTTTATAATTTTTTTACAAAAGTTTTTAGCCAAGAGTTAGTTAGACAACTGAACAATGAAAATGTGCTAGTTATGAGATTGATTGCAGTTGAAGTAGTTAATTCACATTCATAAGGAAAGCAGTGGTCTTAAATGAGTGCATATTCGTTCATTCACTGACTTTTTGGTGGCATACCAATATACACAACTAATGTTTTTATTTCCCTGGACGAATTTGATACCTAAGACTGACTTTCTGTTAACCTCGGCATTGATCGATAATTCGATGTTTTTCTTCAATAAGCAGACATGAGGTTGTTATTATGGAATTCATTCGGATACAATAGCTGACGTTTCGGCGTTTTCGCCTTCTTCAGAGCCTGGAAAGGTGAAATTGAGAAGCGATATATTCATCCAAACATTTTTTTATCTGCTGAAACAGTTTGCAGCTTTCAAGTTTGATCCCACTTCGTCGATCCGACGAGATTGGAAGCCCATAGCACAACGTTGAATCAACGACCTTATTTTTATTGCAGGACACCTTTAATCAAGGCGATATATGTATCCGTGTTAATAGCGCACTCATAGTAAAATTCCCCTTAGGTTGAAGCTAAATCTACTTAAATCCAACCGAATAGTCGGACTCAGTAATTGAATACTCATCAGCAAGGTCGAAATCTCGAGTTCAGTTGTCCGTATGAAAGCAAATGGAATGTTCATTCATGATAATTTAGCCGCTCTCTAAAAATTTCGCTACAATACAATTCAATAGAGTCTCTACCCTGACACTCGAAAACAAACTGAAGGCGAAAGTTTCAGGAATAAACTAAGTGTGTTCGAAACGACTCTGTCAATACCACGATTCGCTCGATTCTGTGTGTGGCAGACGGCAGATGCGTTCGTCATGCCGACGTCTCACGTCGAATTCATTCTGAAGATCCGTAATCAGCGTGTAAGTTCTTTTATGTTGAAAGCATTCTAGACGTTTTCAAAATGAACTACAATCGAGAACAATTTTCTCTTTTCGTTTAGAGCTAAGTCTTCATGTGAAGCTAAACTTTGTCCCTCAAAATCGCTCTTAATTAAATTCTGCTCACTGTTATCTGGTCTTTTATTTGCAATGAAATTCATCATATTGTTCAAGTAGGGATAATTAAGGCCCTATAAAATAACGAATTTCATGCCCGCCAAATGAGTGGGATTCAACTAGACCTGACCTCCTATGGAGCGCGGGTAGCATTTGTTTGATGGCAGATAGAAACGATGATAAACTGGTCTTTATCTTCGGAACTGTTGAGATCGAAATTACATCGACAGCTTCAGAATATTTATAAATGAGCTATCGTTGTAGTTATTTCTATACGTGTTCGATCTATACGCTCTCATCATTTTCTACGTAGTGTACAGTCGTGTAAGAAACCAATTTAAATGGTTTTAAGAGAGGTGTTTATCCTATAAGATTAAAATTGAGTCGTTTGGTGGAATTTTTTAAAAAACTACACGAGTTTTTTTTCGAAGATTCTTGACTGGGTAATGGATACGTTTTTGATCGATGTCGACTTCCCTATCAACCCCGAAGAGGATAAAATGGAAATTTGCTTTCTCGGATTGGCTTCGAAACGTGATCAACCGTTGTGTATTATGCATCTCCAGTCTGATGGCAAAGTACGCAATTTTTTTACCGTAATTTTCGAGGATTTCTCTTTAATGAAATGTAGAAGGAAATACTTAAGCAATGAACAATACACATCTTCTTTTCTATTCAGAACCAACTATTGATGGCCTGAATTGCTTTTTCCTTTCTTTTCCCTTTTTTCGGACTTCCACACATTCACATTTACCGCACGGTGTTTAGAATCTACAATATAATAGAAATAAACATAAATTAACATTTCAAAACCGACTTTTCTCTAGACTCAGTACCACTAATCAATGTGTATTCTTTGTTTGGTAAGCTTACACGAGGTTGATAAACAATTTTTACACGGCTGACGTTTCGGTGTCTTACTCTTCATCAGAGTCGATTATCCGAGTCGATGGTATAAAATTATAAAAAAGCGTCGCCGGATGAATAAGTGCTCCAGTAAAGAAGACCCAATTGAATACGAAGACGAAGACGCTACACGAGAAGACGAACGACTGTGGACCATCGACCCGGATCGTCGGCTTTGATGACCATGAAGCCGTTGAAACGTTAGACGAATGAAAATTATTTATCAGTGTCGTATAAACTTATCAAACAAAGAAAACATGAATCAGTTTAGACAGCTCTCTATCACGACTGCATGGAGACCGCTGGTAACATCATCCAATCACTGTGCGATTACTTTGCCATCGAATCACTCGAAGCGCAAGCTGAATTCCCCAGCATATTTGCTGAAGTCGACAAAATATGCAGTGAGGTGATGAGAAAGAATATCGTATGCACTTTTTGTTTTCGTAAGAACTTCGTGTAAGTTCATGATCAACACATTTGCAACTACGCCTAATTTTTTGTCAATTTTCTCTTGATTATTCACATGCCATGTTCGACACAACATTTTTGTTTGACAACGAATCGATAAAATATAGAACGTTTATCGAAGAAACCTTGTGATAGGAAACAAATGGTCAAAATATACGCGTTGAAATCAATGCATACAATTCACTGTGCCGGCCCGCGTGTCCATTGTCACACATGAATGAATACCATGAAAACTGATGTATTCATCAGTAGTTCACGAGGAAGGGTTGTTTGAATATCTTACGTTGGTTATTGAACTAGCACAAAAATAATTTTGGCACGTTATAATCCCACAACAGCTTATCGTTTCGCAGTGATTAACTAGTGCTTCTGATCCTTATTCCACTTTGATATAGAGGGCGGTTCACGTAATTTCTCACGTTGAAAAACTATAGTCTCCTAAGCAGAATGGCTGTTTAGGGCAAGGTATAGTAAATAGGGATATGTCTATCACTATAACACTAGAGCAAATTCTGTTCTATAAGTTTTTTCTGTTATAACCTTTCTCTCTTCGGGACCTCTAGATGTCGAAAAATTGTCTTCTGTTATTAGCATCAGTGACTACGAGTTGACAGCCATGTTTTGAATGGCGGATGAGTTTTAAAATGTCTGCACCTGATGTAAATTAGGCGTCCGACCTTATGCAGTAGTCTTTCTAAGTGGTTAGTATACAATTTCATAATGACCACACAAGAAGCAGGCTATCGTAATATTCACTGTTCAAATCAATATGAATCTATCAAAAGAGATTGTTTTGTGTAAATAATAAAAGTGCAGAACTTTTGCTAAAGCGTTTTACCTTACATCTTAAGTTTAGTTTGTTTTACCTTAAGTCGAAACAAACCTTAAGACAAATCAAATTACTGTACTCACTTCCAAGTCGATACCTAACATTCGTCTGAATCTACTTTCAGCTGGATTCGATGTACGATGTACGGGATCGCTTAGCAACAGATCTGACCGAAAAGCAGACGCAGTTGATGGAAATGATAATCAGAGCGGAGGATGCCATCGTCATTGGTGATCTGTGCGTATGTTCGAGCAAATCACGCTCTTAATCTTAAGTAAAGATATTAGCAAAGCAGCATTTATTTAATATATAAGCAGCTCCATGCATTCATTTAAATCCATGGTCCTCTTATTTCGCCGCAAAAAATCCACGATTATACTTTTCACATTAAATCCATAGCTTCACAAGCATGGAAACGAAGGTAGTTCCTTAAAAACTACTCTTTACACTTAGTAGTTTATAAAATAAATTTCCTACTCCGACGAATTTACTCGCTTGTGTATTATACGGATCTACTAACAACTACTGTACTTGCATTCTGAACTTTGAGACTTAAGATACACCTTAGCGCCAAGATACCGTGTTGAATTACTGCGAAGAGTCGCATAGGTGTGATAAGTATGCAGAAGTGCTAAGTGTGCTTAATTATTGAAATATTTTAAGCAATATTCTTTGTTATGGGGGAAAGGGGCGGATAGCACAGTGGTAGCGATGTCCGTCATCACGAGCATGGTGCTAGTTAGTTCGACTCCGCTCTGGGCTAACCAAGCCCCTCATCCCTCTCGGGTCGGGAAATTGGTACCAGACTTGTCTAGGAAAGCATCACTCTATGCAATACTCACTCCTTATTTCTTACGATGTCGAATTCCTTGCTATGCTTGTAACCGAAACAAATACTAACAGTTCAATATGATGCGAAATTAGAGTTAAATCGACTTCACCTCTTACACAAAAAATGAGAAGACTTACTTACTTCATATTTGAACGGCCCATCATCACTAGTTGCGCGGACCCCAGAATAATCTCCATTTTTCGGAGATTTGCTGGTTAAGCCGTTATGGTTCCCTGGAATCAGGAGGTCAGCCTGGCCAAAGTCTGCCCTAGGTCTTCACCACGACAGGAAGTCGCAGCCCTAGTGGATCAGAGGGAGATTTACCACCATGCGAGTTTGATACCAGGACGGTAGTGGATCCTGGTTTTCATTTACTCTTAGCAAGGCTTCCTGATGGAAGCGCCGGAATCCTCCTCAGCTTGGGAGACCCTGCCAGGGGATGAATCCCACGCTGTACACCGCAGTTCGACACCCAGGTGCACCTCCCAGCCACGATGAGGCGGTAAACTGTTGGGAGGTTGAGGAGACTACTACAGTGGGTTTCAAAGATGAGAAATCATTTGTAGATACAAACTGCTTGTTGGTTTTCATTTTCATGTGTTACTTCGATATTTCGTTTAAACGATATCTGACCAGTGAGATACAAATGGTGTCTATAACCAAAGAACCATTCACGTCGACTTGTGTTTCACCGCACTTTCAGTTTTCTTCTTTGTACAGACTTATTCTAAATGATGCATTATAACAAGTTCAATTAAAAGATTATTTGTTCATGCTGCATATTCCAATGAGTTTTTCTCAATTTAGGCCAGACCTACTTTATAGTCTAAGGCCGAGATTAATAGAAAGTCGATCATGGGAACCTATACCTATTTCCTCTGAATATCCCAATTTTTTCTGAAATTCTAAAATTTAATTGTCTCATTTATGACGGAGCGTTCAATGAGTAAGCATCGCGCATACTTTTGACTCATTTCGACCTGAGTACTTCCAGTGAGCTCTGGCTGATGTGATGTGTGTTTGCAGTCGTAGAGTTTAAAACTAAATTTCAACCGAATTCACTTTTCAACACAGCTATATTGCTGTTATAAACTTAAGATTTACTCCAAACACCATAAAATACCTGTTTCAGAGATCTCGTCAGAAAGTACTACACTCGGATAGGTCATCTCGATCGCACCGTTCGACAAGCATTTCACTTGCGTTCTAACAATCATGAGAGATTTGTGCATTCATTAAGAACACTCCACAAAATCATCGAACAAGCTGCAAAACTACGATGTAAGACCATATTTTCTTCACGTTTTACATACAGATCCTGAAAAACATTATGAAACAATACGACCACTCATACATGTTGTCTGTGATTGCAAGAACATCCGTATTGGAGTCGGCTTGTTACGTTGGTCAATCGATCGGTTATAAAACTCGCCATCACTATAGGAATCCCTGAAGTCCCGGAAGAATTTTAGTCACATGGAAGTATACTCTTTCTGATCAGCAAGTGAACGGGACTTCCTGCCATGAACAACCGGGAACAGTGACAAGAGAAAAAGAATGAGCGCCAAGATGCAAACAAACTCAACTTTTGAATAAGACCACCTAAACGGACTACGGCTACAAGGTGACGAATCGAATGGAAACACTGAGGACCATACAGTACTCCAAAGCAGGGAACCATCTAAGAACTAAAATACAAAACTAGACAACAGGATAAAGCTCTAGACGCTAATCAACCCTTGAGGGACACACCATGCATTCGATTTCATTAAGCATCATTTTGAGGCGACCGGATGTGGGCTATCGATGTATCGAGCCAGTGCTGCTATCCTCCCAGACAAGTCCGGTACCAATTTGTCGACCCGGAGAGATGGAAGGCTTGGTGAGCCACTGCGGAGTCTATGAGCTTGGTGGGCGCTGGGATTCCATGTATGTGTCGCTGGACGCCTCCGAGTGCTGGGCCACATAACCGGATATCCATAGCTAAATATAAAGGAAAAATTGCCAGAACATTAATATTCCTACGCTTTCGAATCTGAAGGTTTGTCGTCGAACTATGTGGCCCGTGACCAGTGTTGGATTGGAATTAAACACAGACCAAAAGCGGAAATAGATTCGTCATGAGAGACAGATAGATTAAGGATCATTCCCTCTATCTCGGCTCTACACGATCTCTGCTGTTGTAGAGTTTTACCTTCTCTATAGAGTGCAAATGCATACGACCGTAGACATTATCCAAATACAGTATCCTGTATTCTGCAGAAAAGCGTGGCAGTATGCCTATAATCATTTAACTGATATATCGATGAGAAGCGTTTGGGATCTCCCTAACAGTCAACCTCTATCTAATCAAATATAGCGTGGAAAGTTATTATCAAGAAGTATATTCAATTACCACAGTAGAATACCCATGCCAACTTTGGCGATCGTTTTCGAAAGCGATTAAAATAGAGGGACTTGTAAGAAAAATATGATGCTCTTCGTGAGTCTCCTGCAGTGAAATGCCACTGAGCACCTTTGGCATACTGCCCAGTTGATAGAGACACAGGAACCTTGGAACCACCAGCTCGAATCATTTGATTATTAAAGGCATTACACATGAGCAGATGACCAGATGATACCTAATATATTCAATGGGAAGCAGAAGAAGAGACTCGGAGTTTCCACCTATATTGAACCAAAGATCCGTGACGCTTCTGTAAATGCCATAATGTTGAAAATCATATGATTTATAAAGGTGCCCGAGTCACAATTGCTGAACAAAGTCCTTAGGAAATGGATCTCATAAAATGTCCAGAGTTCAAAAAGGAAGCTCACCAGACGATCAACCTTTTGAATCAAAACTTTCGACAAAGAATATCATTCTTCCTGGCTGTAGGACAGAATTTTGAGTAACCCTTGCATTATAGCGACAAACGGAAGCACTACTGGTCACGATGCACAGATGCTACAGGAGACCCACCTAAGGACATTACACTATGACTTAGTTCTAGCATGCACAAGAAAAAACCATGTAGTTTTCTAGAAAAAGACTCTTTTAGGTGGTGAGCCGAGCCGGAAAATCGTATCAGCATGCAGAGAAGCAATAGCCGACGACAATAAAGCTATATTAGCAAAATATCTCAGATATGGCGCGTAGCCAAGTTATTAAATGCCCAAGTGTTTACAGGAAGAATCGGGGAACTACGTAGTTTCTCACAATAAACTTTATTACGCCATAGTTGTTGTCTAAAGCAAGTCTATTGACAAGTATCCTAGTATATTCAAAGGTTGACTTCTTCGAACTGGATTCTGTTTCTTACTCGTGATTGCACTTTTATTGTTCTTAAGCACGTGAAGGTACTGTTTGAGCCCTCAATAACTCATGAAGTCAGTATGTGTACTCAACGTAATCTTCGTAATGTCTTTATCACCAATGTTCAAAATTTCTCTATTAAACTTCCTTTGGTGTATTTGATCTTATAACAAAATATATATATATATATATACAAACTAGTTGTGAATAACATTACAACATTCTATAATGCTGAGATATTTGCAAAACTCCGCACCGCAAGTGTCTGCGGTGGGTAACGAACGCGCTATTTTCCTTTCCGGGAAGAAACGCGTTCACCACCACAACATGCGGGTCCTTCGTTTCGCCTGTCTCAGCTAGTTCTATCGATCTTTTAGCCATCAGTAATCACCCCTCAATCACATTACAATAGCTGAGTGATGATAAGCAACTCCATTTTGTACTGCAAATTTATTGTTTAAGAGGTAGCCGAACACGAGGAACTCATACAAAGAGTATGGAACAGCGCACATATACAGTAGAAACAGGTGACAGTTTTAATCAACAGAATGAATGTGGAATTACTCTACGAACCGTTCACACTTTGTGTACTCATTTAGAGTGCCGGACCAAACCTGAGGTAAAGAACTTCTTGACTGTTTAAACAGGAACAAGATCAAAATGTCAGCCGGTCAACGGCGTCGCGCTGCCAGAACTCGAACAACAAATTTTGCGGAAAACATATTTGCAATAACTGAAAACTTCTGGGCTATATTACAGGGTAAATAATAGGAAATCTGGAGAGGAAATAAATAAATAGTGAACAACTTAATAGAAACAGAAACCCTACAACTATGAAAAATTATGGAGACATGCTTCATACATTGAACTAACGAAATGTTCACCCTCATGAACGAAAGAAAGCCGAACGAATCGGTAAGATCAGAAATACTACTATATATTTCAGAAGATAGTAGAAATATATCTAACAAAGACACCTATCGCTACCGTTGCTGATTCAATGCTTCGTGCAATAAGGAACCCAGGCGATGCTGAACATCCTTCTTCCAGGCTTTCTGTCTTTTCACATGCCGATAGAAATCCTCCAACAAGGTGTGCGCAGTCGGCGCATGCGGAATACGCGTAAAAGCGGCGATCGCGGTCACAAGCAGATGATGTGCCTACAAAACTCATTTCCATTCCGGATGCTATAATTACCCAATCAGAAATGCTTTATTAACAACACTACGAACAACTAATACTATTGTTGCTATGGTTATAAGAACTAAACCTCATAAATAATACCCAATGCTTCCGAAATAAGCTATTTTGACTAGTAAGTTTATCTTCGTGAACTTCCTAGATCCTCATTATTCACTGGATAATTACAACACGATAACGGTGACTGCGACTTACATCCTCCATGTCACTACTATTGAATCGGTTGTGACTGAGCTTGATCGCAGCTGCAGCATAAAACTGCTCAATACAGCGCTCGTACAACTCGGCGGTGGAAGGATGGGCATACGTTTGCAGCAAGACTGCTCGAGTCTTAAACCAATAATTACGTATGTAAATATGTGTATAAATTAAAAAATTATTACAGAAATCCAACATACGCTCCTCAAATTACTTAGCTTAAAATTAACATTACTGATAGGAATTAAAACAACTGGAAACTGCATATTTATTTCGACGAGAGACAAGTTCATTTATTGCAGTTGCGTCAGCCTGGAATGGTGGTAAGGCGATTTCGTAGCCCGGTTCGTTTAACCTTTGCGGCGTCGACAGTTGTGACGCAAGACCATGCATTATTACAAATGGTTGGTCTCTGGTTGAACAATGCTAAGCGCACGCGTTGAAGCTGAAGGTTCACTCTGTCAATTTCCTGGACTTATTCCGCTGCCTTAGTTGTTTCACTACCGAGTTCAGGAAACTGTGATGAAACATGCCAGCCAAATGCAGAACATCAACGATCAGCAGGACCTTGTGCTGAGTGCTTTCGCGAAGTGCTGAGGAGCTTCCAAGGACTGAACACATTGTTGTCGGCTGTCGTACAGGATCTATTTCTCGTTAGACGTCGTTGAAAACGAGGTTTTTGCTGCGCAGCGCTAACGATGCCTCAAAACAAGATGTGTTGACTTTCATCCTATTCCTACGACATGCACTTGTCGAGTTTCTTCGACTTTCAAATTTCCTTTAGATCACCTGAAGCAAATAAGATTTTTATGCCGAGTCATTCCGCAAACCCCCAAATAGTTGCGCTTGATTTTACGTCCAACAAAACCTCTGATTCATCACCGTCAATAACAGAAGAACGTTCGCAACGTTCCTCATCTTCAACGTCGAATTCTCAACGATCAAATTTTCTACGCACACCTCATTAGTACTTCAGGACATATAGATTGCATTATTACCAAGCTTGAATTTGCAAAAGTTGTCGAAATTGCTGTTTTGACATGTTCATTTCTAAACTGTCAAGTTTGTCAAGAAAAAAATTGATTGTTATTTAATTGCACCGAGCTAAAGTCCACAGAATATGGTGTGCACTGGTGTGTAACAGTATAGCGTTTGAAAACAAATTATTGCTAAAACATACACAAAAAGAACAAATGACCATTCCTGACTCAATTTTCGAACCTTACACATATATATATATACATATACATATATATATATACATATATAATATATACATATATAACCATATATATATACACATATATATATATATATGCGAATATTACGACACATCGTGCACTAACCCTTGTGAAAGGAACACTACTTTCAAAATACCTTGCTCTCATAATTTCTTTTAAAAAAAAAAAAAGAAGCAGCATTAGATTCTACAAACTAACCCTGCCAGCCACATGAGCAAAAGCTTTGCTTGAATGAGATGACTGCGTAACAGGCACTGAGCGATTTATTGGTGGCAGCGAGTATTGTTGAGGATATGGCGGTAATCGGCTGTAAAAAAAAAAGATGATAGCGAGTTATAGTGCATCAATTGACAGATGCGAGTTTAGAAAGAATAAGGATATTCAGTATGAATGGATTAAAACTTTAAATGACCTTATCTAACCTTGAAACCTACTATTGCAAAAGTGAGTAATACAATTAACATTATGAACTGTTAAATACATACGTATTCGCCTCCATGGCGAACTGGAACAGTAGAAAAGGCGATGAAACCGCTTTGGTCACAGCATCAAGGAAGCTCACAAAATATGGTGTTCCCAACTGCACAGATATAGTGAACAACCATCGAATGTCCTCAGCGTAAGGTGGAGTCTATAAAGAAAGTATGAACAAGCTAATGCTATGGTAAATAGAAATCCTTATCAGAGTAAACTATCAAGCAAAGCTAATACGGAACATTCCCGACATCACGAGCTATCAATGTACAGCCTTTAACCCCAATTCATGAGGTGTGTAGGAAATAAAAGAAGAACAATAACTGTAAACAAAGAAAACTTTCATGATAATACCAAAGTGAATACATAATGGGGTGGGTGGAGAGCAGAAATAGCGCAGTGGTCAATGATGCCGTCCATGGATAAGCAAAGGTGCCAGTTCTACTCCCAACCCAATGCTTTCCACCAACCCAGGTGGAAATAAGTTAGGTTGGCCCTCATTCCAAGATGTCCAAGAATGCAAGGTGAATTAACTCGATCAGCACTGTACGACATTCATAAAGAAAAGACGAAATCCTTATGCAGCATTCGAAACAACAGACGAAATGCTCGAAGACTGTGTATGGTGAATGCGTGGAAACAATTTGAATGCAAGAAGTGTTTCATCTTCACAGCAGATGTGATAACGAATTATGCAAACGCAAAAATATACAATATACTACCCACCTGGGAATACTTACTGTACTGCCGGCTATCATCACTACCACCCATTGTCATAGTTGCAAGTGCTCTAATTCCAACACGATGAGCATTTACGAGACGCGGGCGCGTCTCTGATCCAACCTGGGTCCCGATACGATAGCCCGATAGCTGTGGGGCTGATTGACTTTGATGCAAACGCCCCATTTCACTAACAACAGAAACATTGCTACTGTTCGTCGACTGGCTGAAAATTCCACGACAGCTGCTAAATTTATTGTAATATGACGAAAACGACAAAAAAGACAAGAAGGATATCAAAAATGACAAAAAAATATGACAAATAAACATAGCGATCGACCCACCTAGCTTGTACCGGTGGCGGATGACCTTGAATGAACGCAATCGACTGCGATGGGTGAACGTGTTCATAGTAAAACTGTTGTGCATGAGTACTTGACTGAAACTGATGACATAGTTCACTGGATAATCGGAACTAACAAGACCTAAACATTGCACATGCTTACTATATTGAAGTACTGCTGATGTTGATTACTGGCGTTAATAGCTAGAGACTGAGTAGCTGTCTGATTCTGACGATGCTGATGCACTACCACAGGTGTGTGGTCAAGTTCATAGTGTAAACCATGCCAATATCGCGCTACGCGAAACAATACATCAGCAAACACGGTCTCCTTATTTGCAGCCTGAAACACGTTGCAGAAGCACACTGTAACCAGTAAATAAAAATATGAGGGAAAAGTGAATAACTTAAACAAGATTTTACTTCTTCAACAGCTCGACACGCGCTCTCCAGTAAGCTGGCTCCTTGCTCACCGCACTGTAAAAGAGCACGTTGTGTTTCGGCTGCACTTAACGTGTACGCATATGGGAGCACCGACAAAGCCAAACGAGCGGCTTCTTCAACGACAGCAGGATCACGTGACTGTCCCGCCTTAAAACTGGATGACAACTATCATTACAAATTGTGCCTTGAAAATGCGTAAGGTTGCTAGACATTTTTTTTCATACAAGATCACTACAAAGCCAAACATACAATCAACATACAAATGGAAGCAGAAAATTTCTACACACCTTATCAGCCAATCCAGCAGCTTCTGATGGAGTTAAATGTATTCGCCAAGTTTCTCGAACTACCTCAATCGCCATCAAACCTTGAACGGTAATAAGCATTAAAATGAGAACATAATCCCATACCTATCCACAAATCCACAAAGCTAACCTAGTTCAGCTGCTTGCAAGTTGATCCATGAGACGTGAGTGCTATAAGTTCTTGACTTCCAACTCGCACAGACTTGATTGTGGAGACCAATAGCGTACATACCAATTAAAAACGCACACATGTGCAATTTACGGTTAGAAGCTAAATATAGCCATTTCATGACATCGTTACAATGCTGAACTTCTAGAACTCGGCAACACACTGCAAAGTTTTGGAATTGAGACTACTAAATTTCTAAAGAAGCCAAAAAATCCTTCCTCTTAACAAGTATTGACGACGCTAAAGTGATAGAAAACCTCCTGTTTAAAACCACTAAAAATAGCAGTACGTCCATCATACGGCATACCTAATGGATTCTGACCGATCGGAGCAAACACCACTGAACTCTGATTTCCTCCAGCCTCTGACAGGACTCGTCTAGCAAGCTCGTGCATATAATGAGCATGAGCTTCTGTGGTACGCACAACAGGTGCATGCTGTAGTCTGGAAATAAATGCGGACATATGTATATACACATATATGTACATATACATACATAGGCATATACTCGTGTATATAGATATGCACATATATATACAGATATATTTGTGCATACATATATATATATATATATATATATATATATATAAAGTAGGTTCAATAAGCAGTGGTTAAAGACGCTGCGCCATAGATGCATGGATATCGGTTGCACTCTGCACTGCGCTAACCAAAAATCCACCTCTATGACATTGGCTGATTGCTACTAAACAATTGCAATATTTCAGGCGGAATTGACACGACCAGCATTGAATAATGCCTATCGACCATGACGACAAAAGAGTAGTGGAACCCACGAAAATTCGAAGACCATCGTCAACGACGAATGCAAGACAACGAATCGAATGAATGAACAGCAATGATTCCGATATGCGAACACCTATCTTATTTAATATATACATATATACATATAAACACATATGTACATATACATATCTAAACATATATACATGCACGTATGTGCATATACAAAGCATGTTTACATTTATATCTACATCTGTACATATACACACGTGCATAGGTGTACATGTAGAAGTAATAGGCAATGATTCCGAAAACAACTGCATATAGAATAATATATATACATGTATGAGTAGATCCACCACGTAGATCCACGGAGCTCCCACATATAAGGGGATCTCGAGCCGATTAGCCGCCAGGCAACGTGGCGCATCCCCAGGTGGCGGATAGGGTGTTAATCGCGGACCAAAAGCGACCTTTGGTTCTCTAAGAAGCAGGTGGATCCAGGGGATGGACTCCCTGCTTCTGCTGCGCTCAATTGGCACATACTTTCTGTATTTGCTAGGCGTATTCACACATGCGTGTGTGGATGCGTTCTTGCTTACGCGGATTGTATTCTACGAGTCAATTCGACCAAAAGCCTGCAATCAAGTGACCGGGAAGTATATGGGAGGCAGTTAGGAATCGCCTTCAACAAATAAGCCCTATGTCCACTCTGAGAGAGCCTGGCAAGCCACCCGTGAGTACACCCAGCCCCCACGTTCAGAACTCATCAAGCAATACGTAGGTATCGAACGCTAAGCACAATAAGACAAGTGAGTCTCATTCCCATGCCCTCGAAAGACTCCACGATACGGCAACTTTGGATAAGACTAGTCCGGAAAAGCTACTAAAACCTCATGGTCATTCTATCTGCCTAAGTCTCGAAGGATTAAGAAAACAATCTGTACCTACACTGCCCGCTCATTTGCATCTGAGTACTCAATAGTGAGATGTTATCGGTTAGCCTGAGAAGAGTAGAGCACATCCATTCAGTGCAGTCTGACACCGAAAAAGAACTGTTCCTCGGAAAATACAATAATAGAGGAGTCGGCCGCATTGAGGCACTCGTCAGCATGCGTTTGGAAAGAAGGATAAAGTACGATGTCATCGACCTGGCCGAGACGAAAAGACGCCAGCCATTCAACGCCGTCTATGACACCGGAGAAGAATTGTTCCTCGCAATATGCGACAGTAAAGTAGTCGGCGGCGTCAGCGTTCTCGTCAACACGAGCTTGTCCATGAACATCAATTCATTCGAACAACTTACAACCCGAATCGGACGTTTACGATTAAAAAGACGTGGATCAATTCCGGCTTTGACAATCTTCGTGGTTTACGCGCCGACATCAAACTATGACGAAGAAGAAGTCGAAGCGTTCTACATGGACTTTGAGAAGTTCCACAGAGAACATACATTCTACAAGGTCATCACTGGAGACTTTAAAGCCAATATTGGACCAAGAAGAACGTCTGAAGAACGTTACACTGTGACCCACGGATTGGAATGAAACGAACAGGGTGAGCGGCTGACTGAGTTTATCATGGCCACCAAGACAATCAATGGTAACTCGCAATTCCAGAAACACCACCCTCAGCGCTGGACGTGGCAGTCTCCCAAAGGAGAGTACCATAACGAAATAGGCCAAATCATAGTAAACGGTTTTACCTAACCGATGTCGCTGTTGTCCCAAAATTCTACACAGGATCAGACAATCGTCTCCTTCGTGCCAGATTGTATTTCTGGCGTAAAGGAGAAAAAGCCGCTAAATTCCAAAATCGAAGTCCCAGAAGCAGCGCAAACTGGGACTTATTGAATTCACTAGTCGGCTGTTGCAAAGATACCGTTGTCGATAACATCGACGAAGAATACGATCGGTTCATTCAACATCTTCACGTTAGCGCTATGAAAGCTAAGAGTTCGAAAGCCACCAGGAAACGTTTGTCTCCAGAAACACCACAGCTGATACGCCAGCGCGAAATCGCACGAGCTGCAGACAACCGCGAACTGACGTCCGAACGTGCAAAACAATGCAGGCAGGCGATGAAAGAAGAACTTAAACAGCGAAGAGCAGCAGTAATGGTCGAAGCTGCAGAGGCTAGGAAAAGCATTCGCAAAGCGCACCGAAGCTTCACCATTTACAAGACCAAGATGATTGCACTCTGATAGTTACAGCGTCAAGAAAGGCAACGGAGAAAATCATTCACTAATACTACTCAGATCTCTTCGATAGCCACGTGCACCATCCGTCATTTGAAGTAAAAGAGGATGCATATGTCGTACCATCGGTTCTCCCTTCCGAAATCCGACATGCTAGTTCCTCGGTGGAAAATCGAAAAGTACCAAGTCCGAACAGGATAAGATCAGAACACCTGAAGAACCATCCGTCAGTCCTCGTAAATACACTGGCTCGGCTCCTCACACTTTACCTAACTGAATGCAAGGTCCCTACTCAGTGGAAGACCAGCAAAAACGTATTATTGCTCAAGATGGGTGACCTACACGATATCGGCAACTATCACCCAATCTGCTATCACCGTCTGTCGTCTGCAAACTTTTTACTAGAACTCTTCACTCTAAACAGGTTTGACAGAACACTAGACGAAGGACAGCTATGTGAACAATCAGGATTTCGAAAAGGATTTAGTATGATGGACCACATGCACACGGTAACATGGTTCGTTGAAGTATCGCAAGAGTACAAAAGACCGCTCTGTCTCACTTTCGTCGATTTACAAAAGGCCTTTGATTCAAATGAGATAAAAGCAGTCATGGAAGCCCTTGATAGTCAAGGGGTCCCTACTCAGCACATAAAGATTTTTCGTGGACTGTACAAATAATTGGCAATCAAAATATCACCATTCTACAACGATATTAACATCGACGTCAAAAGAACAGTTAGGCAATCTCGCCATCTCGCCAAAAATATTTACCGCCACCCTCCAGAACGTCATGCAGACATTAGAATCGGATACTACATCACCTTCGCTTTGTTGGTGACATCGTCCTTGTAACACCAAACATTAGCCGAACGGAACGTATGGTTCACGACTTTGATAAAGCCTGTGGAAAGATTGGTCTTTAACTAAATCTCACAGAAACGATTTCATGAAGAGCGGATTGGTTTCGCATGCCCCATTCACGCTCAACGGAACGAATGTCTGCGAATGCTCCAGTTATTTCTATCATGGTCGGGAAATCAATACGATAAACGACTTAGCTCCAGAGCTGAGCAGAGGGAAATGAGCGGATTGGGGAGCTTTCAAATGCGTCGGGGATGTAGTGAAGGGAACAAGGAAGACCCGATTCTCTGCCCACCTTTTTGACTCCACGGTAGTTCCTGCGTATGCGTCGGAAACCTGGTAGCTGCGTAAGCAGGATGAAAGATCACTCAGCGTTATCGAACGTACAGTCGAAAGGACTAGGAGTATCCCGTTTGACACATGTACAGGATGGGATCCGAAGCCCCGACCTGCGTCAACCATCAAAAATCAAAGATGCGGTTCTGTGCACCAAATAGTCGATGATGAGGTGGACCGGACACGTAATGCGTATGAATGACAACATGGACAAGAGCTGTTAGTGACTGGATTCCTCGGATGTCAAACGTACTGCAGGAAGACCACCGAACGATGGTCAGAGTTCTTCACGAAGAGTCTAGAACAAAGATACGATGCTCGAGTCCCTATAGCGAGCAGAACCCACTGGGCTACTCTTGCACGCGACAGGGAAAACTGGAAGATTTGCTGGCGCCCGCTCGAATCACTCGATGATCTACTGGACTACAGGTGATATGGATAGATAAGGAAAAACATAAACTCCATAGGATTCGATCAGTGAGGTAGTGACGAGAATACCTGGCGCACCTCAGGTGGCAAAGATGGGTTAATCGAGGACTAAAAGCGACATTGTGCTCCACTGAGATGTAGTTGGAAACCAAGGCATGGAGTCTCCGTTCCTGCTGTGTTTATTTGCCACATACCCTCTGTTGTACCTATGTAGACATGTTCATGTACGCGTATGTGGGTCCGTTCTCGTTTACGCAAAATATATACTACAAATGAATTCGACCAAAAGTCTGCAATCAAGCGACTGGAAATTACATGTGGTTTGTCTCGAGCAAATACACCCCACCTCTATTCTTGGAAATATTATCAACGTACCCGTGAGTATATCCAGCCCCCAAGTACAGTAGTGAATGAGTTATACGTGGGTATTAAATGCTGAACACAGGAAAATAAATGACCATCAATCTCTCACTTCAAGAATCTATAATAGGGCAA